CCTTACTTACCTATATTCTGCAATATATTTTCTAGTTTCTCTTATCCATGTATGAGATTAGGATATAGTGCTTTAATATGTATTCTATGTCATGACACTTTAATTATGATATTAGGTTATTTTTTATATTTATGTGTTTCAATTATATGTTTTTATATATGTTTAGAATATAGAGCTAATTAATTGGTATAAATTTTATATACTATTACTTATAAATTTTAGATCAAAAGTTTGAAACAAATTAAGTAAAAAAGAAGAGGAAACATAAAAAAGTAGGAACCAGAGCAATAAGCAGAAGACTTAACTACCTATATTCGTCAAAACATTTGACCAAAAAAAGGCAACCCAGTATCCCATTCTCGGAGAAAAAAAAAACATTTTCATCATTGAGTGATGGTGGAAATGATTATTATCAAGATGATGATCCTCTTATGCCATAATTGGTGCAATCGTCGACTGTTTTAAATGATCATGTTTCGCTGGTGGCAGAGGAAAAATGTGTGGGTCAAGATGATGATCAAGAGGAAGAATTTGATGAAACGAAAACATTGGAAGAAGAAGTTCGAAATTATTTAACCGAGTGATAGTGATCAAGGTTGTCAAAATTAAGAGTTTAGGTAAAATCGTTTTGGTGAAGTAAAATCGGAATTGTAAAATCAAATCGGTAAAATCGAGAGTTTATTACATTAATTTGAAATTTATATATTACTAAAATTTAACATCAAATATTTAAATTTACAATTTATCTAAGAAATTTTATTACTAATTAATTATTTTAAATCTTTTTTGTACATTTTTCTATTTTATGGTTACTAAATTATTTTAAATTTTACTAAGTTTGACCTCATAAAAATATTATAATAAAACATTGTTACTTTAACATATAAAAAATTGATAAAACTTTAAAATTTTTACTTGAAAACTCAAAAATATCAAATTACAATGGGCAAGATTCAAACCAACCCCAACCAATCTATAAAGAGTCTTACATGCACTGCTCCACCTATGCACTAGTGGTGGTTGTTTGTGAGATGATGACAAAAAAATTCATAAAACCTTTTACATTTGTAAAATCTCGATTTTATCCGATTTTACGATTTTACTACGATTTTATGATTTTAGTATCCCGAGTTTATGGAATTTTGATTTTGACTTCGATTTTACATGAATTGCATATGTATCTTACAATTTTACTTGCGATTTTGACAACCATGATAGTGACTAGATATATCTTATTTAATTTTTTTAATTAATTGAACAAGGGATGAAGGACTTTTTATATTTTCTTTGTTATAAGTTAATAAATTATAGACTGTTTTATATGTATATTTATATCAATATACATTTATAATTATTTATATTGATATTTATAGTGAAGTTATATT